CTGTAGGATGCGGACCAAATGAGGTCCAGCAAAAAAAAAAAAAACAAAACAAAAAACAAACAATCAAACAAAAACAATTACAAAACTCAACCAAAAATTCAATTTCTGTTAGGAGTCACAAAATAAAAGAAGTGACCACACACACACACAAAAAAAAAAAAAAAAAAAAAAAAAAAAAAAAAAAGAGGAAAAAACGACAAAAAACAAACAAAAACAAACTTACAAAGCCTCAAAAGGAGTTTCATGGCGCAGGTGTTGTACGTGAAGGAAAAGTACACTCAACGATCCTCACAGAAGCCTTAAAACAAAATCACTCACACAAACCATCAGAAACCAACGCACAAAAACGCGTACAAAAGGACAAAATGCCCACTTATTTGTCAACAACGATGTGCATGCATGTGCGTGGCGGCTAATTAATTCAAAAGGCGACGTTTCCCGTAAGGCACACAACCTCCCCCCCCCCCTTTTTTTTTTCTTTTCTCACCGGTCTGTGCAGCCGTCCGTGCCAACAGGCACAGTGCTTGCGCCTGTTCCACAACGCGTGCCGGATGATAACATGGGCGTCTCTATTTGACTCTCCGTGACCCCTCCTGTCACCACCCCGCCAACAACAACAACAAAATGGGACGCATATGCGCGCTTTTTTTTTCTCTTTTTCTTTATTTTCACATTTATTTGTTCGCCCGCTTTTTTTTTGTTTTAACCAATTTTTTTTTTTCTTTTTTTTGTCGAGGCCGCTCGTCATAATCAAAAGAACGTAAATAAATTTTTTTTTTCTTTTTTCCATTTTTGTTTCCCTCCGCTCTCCCCACTCCTTATTCTTACAAACAGACACATGTACACAATAAAAAAAAAAAAAAAAAAAAAGAACATAAGGCAGGTGTATTTTACACCAGCCAGGGGAAAATAAAAACAGATAACACGGTCTGTTATTCCTCTCGCATGACGATATGTGCATATGCGTTTATTTGCAAAGACCGGAGTTCCAAATATTCCTTCTGTCGCATCCACAGACACGTCCTTCCCCTTTTTTTCCTGTTTCTTCCTCGCCCTCTTTGGGGAACTCATTTCCCTTTTGTCTTGCGCGTATCATTTTTTATTCCATTCCCTCCCTTTGTCCCATTCCAGCCAATGAAATATTGCTGCATGTATGCAACACGGGCAGTTGCCACCGTATGACACGAAGGCAGGGGGAAAACAACAACAACAACAACAACAAAAAGGGCCATAAGGCAACATCATCATAAACTTGCAACGCATTGCAACGGACAACTCTCACACGGGGAATAAAAAATCGGTGGCGGAGTGGCAAGAGTGGGGCTGGCGTCAATAGAATCACTTGAGACGGAAACGGCTGTGGTGACAACCCGAGCAAAAACACAGCCATCTTGCTCGCCGTCGTTTTTTTCGTTGTTTTTACCTTTTCCAGGCGTTTTCACTTTACCCAAAACAGCGGGGGTTGCTGGCGTTTGACAGTTACTCATTGGTTCTGTACACTCTTTGATTTTGTTCTCCATTTGGGCCTGCGGCTTAGGTCGTGCATCTTTGTCTTTCCCCGAGGGCGGTAGTTGGATTGGGTCGCTGTGTTTCACAACGGCTGTTCTTGCAAACAAATCACCGCGGCACTTGCTGCGGTTTTGCGACAAAAGACTTTCCAACTTGATGGCAAGCGGCTCTGAATTCAATCCGGTATGCCGCACATGACAGATAACATGGTTTCCACTGCGCTCCACGCAGGCACACAACTCCTCCACATCACTGTTGAATATGTCAATGCCCAACACAATCAACTCCTGCAACGTTCTGTTACGGTGCAACGCCTCAAAAACAGGCAGAAGTGGACGGCGCGAGAGGAGGCCAATTGAGCTCGTACGGCCGGTGGACAGCCGACTCCTCCAGTGACTACCACACAGTGGATGCGCCACCTCGTGACTTTGGTGCGATAAGTCTAAAGACATGAGTGTGCTGTTACCGGCAAGGGCGTTGCCAATAATACGGAGGCTCTCCGCACTCATACTACACCCACGTAGGCTCAGCTTAGACAAAAAAGTCGCACCAGAAATGCCAGCCGCCAAGGCGGTTACCGCCTCTTCGCTTAGAGGGATTTGCAGCTCGAGACTTTTTAACTGCGTT